TGCCCGGACGGCGCTTGGCCCCGGCCTGGTCCGGGCGCACGGAGCGGGGTGTGGTCGGCCGGGGGAGGCCGGAGGGCGCATTGTGCACGCGGGGGTGACCGTAGGTCACACGGTCACATCCGCGGGTGCGTTTCTGCCTGTCGGTGACGCAGGGGCGAGGTGTAGACGCTTTCTTGGGAGGGATGTAAAACTTGGATGTTCAGGAAGATGTTAAAAAAAAAAAAAGAAAGAAAAAAGGCACGACTCTGCTTGAGGTTGGCGCATTCGGGAGCACACACAGCGACAGCAGCCCTCCTGCCTGCCAGTTCGGTTAACATTCTGCAGTTTTCAAACCCACGTATCCTCAGCTGACACATTGGGTTTTACTTTCCTGCGCTGGGCGTAGCCGTGGTGTCGCGCCTCATGGTGGGCAGCACATGGGGCACAGAAGGCCTTGCTGCTCCGGAGGGCGCCTGTTGTGTCACCCCCGCGGCGCCCACCGTGCCAGCCCGACGGTTTTCCCGACGACTGCGTCCAGGAAGGTGGCGCTGGAGCTGGCGGCCGTGTGATGCGGTGACCCCGTACGTTACAAAGGAAAGGGAAATCTGGGGGTGTCGTGTGGAAGCAGCAGGCAATTACAGTCTTTCAGGTGGCAAAAGCTGCTCAATTTCTTTCTCCTTTGAAAAATTACGCAGAATGACTTTAGGTAATTCAGTGTAACACGTTCTTGTCATGTAAACTGTTACTCTCCAGGGTGGCTTTTAAACAGTGATTGAGACCATGTGTTCCGAATTCTTCATTCGAACATGCTTGTACTGGGCTTCGTGGCAGTTTTGGTAGCTGCAGGGGAGGCTCTGTGAGGAGACACCAGCAGCTGCCCCATGGCACAAGGGGCTCTGGGACGGACCCACCGCTGGCCATGGTTGAGCTGGTCACAGTGGTGGAGAAAGGTGGAAAACACTGTGCAACAGCGGCTGGGAGAGAGGAAATGTGAGAGAACAGCCCCGTAGACACAGGTCAGCAAGGAAGGAGGGGAGGAGTTGCTGCAGGCTCCCCCACGGCAGGGCGGCTGTCCCTGCGCCCGCCAAGGTCACCACGGGGCAGGCATGAGCCCGACGGGGACGGGGCTCTGGGGAGCTGGCGCTGGAGCAGCCTGTTCCTGAAGGACGGTGTTGGAGAGGTTTGTGAAGAACTGTCTCTGTGAGAGGGACCCCGCGGTGGAGCGAGGGAAAAGCGTGAGGAGGAGGAGGAGGAGGGAGCAGCAGAGTCGAAGCATCTCGGACTGACCGCAACCCCCATTGCCCATCCCCCTGTGCTGCTCGCGGGAGCAGATGGGAGAGGTGGGAGTGGGGGTGAGCCTGGGAAGAAGGGTGGGGGGAAGATGTTTTTAGTTCTGTTTTTCTTTTTTTTTCTATCCTACTCTGTTGTTTACTGGCTATAAATTAAATTAATCTTCCCCAGGTTGAGTGTTTTGGATGGTGATTGGTCTCCCTGTCCTTACCTCAACCCACAATTTCCGTCTTACTTTCTCCCCTACCTTGCTGAGGAGGGGGAGTGAGGGAACAGCTGGGCGAGTGTCTGCTCAACACACCACCATGCCAGAATAGGCAGAGCTGTGCGGTGCATCGGTGTAGATTTTTTTTTTCCTTTCTGAGGGTAAAATGATGATGTTAGAAGGTGAGTTTTTGAAATGAGTTTGGGAAGACTGGTTGCAGATAATTCAGCAGTTCTCATTTGAAAGAGTAGTTACCAGTTAAATCAGGTACGTGGATATAGTTATTCGTTTAGGCTGAAGATGTGCAATACTAATGAATCCACTGTGATGCTGGCAAACCAATATTTGTTACTCTGTTCTAAACCATTTCCGGGCAAAAGTAGATTTATTCATTATGCACTTAATCCTGGTTCCATTGGGGTTAAAAGCTTAGGCAAAGGAATCACCAAGAAAGGTGGTTGGATTGGGGCTATTTAAAATTCTTGAATCTCTGGTGAATAGTGAAGTTGAAGCGCTCGGTTCAGAAATGATTGCCGTGTTGAGCAGGAAGACATCGTGCTGGTGCCGAGCTGTCTGTGGCTGCCCTTTCCTTGTGGGATCCTCGCCTGGACCTTTGGTTCTGCGAGGTGGTGGTGGTTAGATCTGTGGGCTGGGGGTGATGGTGTGTGGGAGAAGCTGGCAGTTCTTGTGAGAGGAAGGTGGCAGTGATGGAGGCTGCTGTGGAACTGTGAACCTCAGGGAAGTTTTTCTGAACTGAAAACGTCGCTGTGACTTTAGATCCATCCACACTGATGGTGGTTTGTCTTCCTACACCCTTAAATGGCTCTACTGGCAGTAGAGCAGTGTTCTCTGCTTTTCCCTTTATAGATAAATCAGATGGTGGTGCTGCCCAAACTGCTTTCTTCAGGTGTTTCACTGCGCAGTGCCCCAAAAACCGTTGTGCTCTTAGGAACAGCCATTTCCTCACATGTAGATACAGTTTTTTAGCTTCCTAAGATCAAGAACAGAATCTGTGATCTTCTTTTCCTATTTTTTATTGATGCATAGAAAACGCCATGCTTTTGTAGGTTGACCAGAAAAGCATCCGTCAACTGTTTTGAGAGTAATGCCCGTGAAAGCTGCAGTGCTGACCTCAAAGCCCAAATGATGGAGGGGTTAGCCAGGAATTACAAGGAAACAATGTTTGGTCTGTTCAGAATACCCAGCTGCATAGGTGTGTTAAATAGTGGGATTACAACAAAGAAACAACACCCCAGGTGACAAGCTGAGGCCGCACATCAAGATGTCATGTTTCAGTCTCCTCCTGTGAGTCTTGCTGTGAAGCATCACGCTGGCTGCAGGATCCGGGGTCTGAGAGAGTCATCGGGGGGTGGGAGGAGGTGGGTGAAGTGTTGGGCAGCAGGAGGATGGCCTGCCGCGGGTAGTGCCCCTTTCTCCAGATAACTGAGAGTGCCTAGGAGAAACCTAGCCTTTTCTTAGGAAGCTTTTTGCAGCTTCTTTCAAAGGTGCTGTTTGCAGCTGGCAAGCTGTGCTGTTGCTGTTTGTTAATGAGTTGGTGTTGCCGTGGGTTGGAATGGATCTGCAGCACCTTTCAGATGACGAGCAAGCACTAAGCCGTACGCTAATCTCTTGCTCTTCTCTGGAGGCACCCAGCAGCAGCACTGGCAGTGCAGTTCATCCTGTCTGATTCTTAGACAAGTTGTAACTCATCCTCCCTGACAATAGGGAGATAAACCCTGTGAGTTGAACTATACATAAAAGCTGGTTCAGGAAGCACCTGAAATGAGATGCTGCAAGCTCAGCTGTCAGTCACTAGTCGCAGGTACTTGTCAGACACAGGCACACAAAATGCCTTCCATGGCCACTGCTCACTGCCTTATGGCGCACATGAAACCCGTGTAACACTGGGTTTACTGCTGTGGGGTGAGTCCAGAAATGATTTTAACTACTGCTAACTAAAATTCCTCCATGTGTTCAGTTTGAGGACACTCTCAGAGCAGAGAGCATGTGCCCTCCGTGTTTCAAAGTGACAGAACTTGCCGAAGATACTAAAGAAAGTGAAGGCTTCCATTTCTCCCTGCCTCTACTGTCCCACTGACCTACTGACTTGTTAAAAAACCAACATAACTGGCAGCAGAAAGTGCCTAAAATGACATTTGTATCACTTGACTCATATCTAGATTTATGTTTGTATTTCAGGCTTCAGGGGAGCTTTTTATGAGATGTATTATTTCAAGCACAGTGGTTAAGCACAGTACAAGCATATTGTAATGTTTTGTAAAATGTAATTTAAGCTAAATGGAAAACAGTTATTAATATTATATTGGCATGCTCTCAGGTTTTGGCTATATGCCAGGGATTCCTGCAGGCTTGGTACCTAGAATATCAAATGCATTTAAATACAGATTGCTCGGGTTTTGAGGTGCAAGTAATAAATTGCCCTTTGTTTATCTGATAAGGAAAAAAACAAGTACCTAGTCTAAAGTCTTCAGTAGTGTATTTGTGTGTGAGATCTCTTCTGATAGTGTTCTACTCAATGGTACAGTAGAGGCAGCTTCTGTTAGTTTTAGTAGTACAAAATCAGTTACTTCACAGACTTCTAAAGCTTCTTTAGGGGGAACTTGAGGTTGGTTTGGGGTTTTTGTTTGTGTATGTTTGGCTTCTTGACAATGGCTCAGGATTGCTATGTAGTCTGAACTGTGTCCTTTAGTGCTGGACATAGCAATAAAACTTGAAATAGATCATTTTTCAGAGTTGGTATTTTTCACACTGTTTTATAGTGAGTCAATTTTAACTTTTTTTGTAAAGAAGCGAGAGAAAAGGTTTTGATTCCTGCAGTAGTTTCAGTGCAAGTGTACTTAAGTACTTGTTCCATCTTGGTGCAGCTTAATTATTAGAGCAGAGGGATCTGATGGAAAGAGGGGCTGTAAGTCCACTTATTGTTATCAGTGCTGATTGTTCAAGAAATAGAAACCGCATGAAGAAATTATTACAAGTAGTAGAAGTACGTGCTAATGAAACCTGAATTCCTGTGGAAAAATCTACAGTGTCCTTTCTGCTGTTGCGTGACTGTTAGGAGCTGCCTCTGGTGCCCCCCTGCCCGATGGGAGGGGCTGCGCCAGCGCCGCGCTCGTGGCCGTGTCTGGGGACGGGCCAGATGCTGCTGTGGTGTCTGCTGGTGGGAGAATAAGGGGATTGATTGTGACTCTCTGAGAAGTACTCCTTGTAAATTTGGCTGCTTCTCTAACCAGACGCCACCTTCAACAAAAAATGTGGGAATTCAGTATCTAATCTCCTCTTTGTTAAATAGGGTTGGAGTTGACAGAGGGACTCTGAAGTTAATAGCTAATGGGAAATTAATAAAGAGGCTGTCTAATTGTAAATTGTAGCTCACTCCCTAGAATTTCAAAACACTTGCACGTCACGTTTCCAGTTGGGTATTTTTAATCCTGATGCTTTCTTAACATGAAAGGCTTAGTTGGAGCGATGTAAGTCTTATTTATCTTCATCCACATATCTGAAGGATCTTTTACCATGCTGCCATGAACACTGGGTTATGGATCGCGCTCCTCTGCACCACTCTGGGGCAGCCTGGAGAGGGAATGCCTCAGGGGGGAACCCCAAAGAGTACTCCGTGGGGCTCCTCCAGACCCAGCTCTGGAGCTAGCCCATCACAGCCCCATCCCCATGGACCCGGGGGAGCACAAGGCACAAGTGGGAACCCAAATCAAGGACCCCATAAAGGTGCACCCTGTCCAGGCCCCGGCCAGGGCTCCCAACAGAGCCTCTGCCAGCGTCCCCTCGTACCAGGGGGTTGTGCCTGGGAAAAGCAGCTGGGGATCCCACAGGACTTGAGGGGTGTGCATGGGGGAAACCGAACGTGGGGCAAAGGAGGAGGTCAGGGGACTTGGGGAGGAGCAAATGTGGAGGTGGAGGGGTGAGGGGATGAAAAGGGCTGGTGAGGCGAAGCAGTGGGCTGGCCAGTGCTTGCCTGGATGTGCCCTTCGTCTGCCCTGCCCTTTGTCTGCCCCCCTCCCGGCTGCACCCTGGGTGAGGGTCTCTGGTCTGTGTGACTGCAGCAAGGGGTCCCCACCGAGGGCCAGCCGAGATCATCCTGGACAAGCAGGTGAAGCGGGCTGGGAGCGAGGGGCTGTGCGGGTCCCCGAGGGCAGCGCTGGGTGGGAGAGCGCCCGTGACGCGGTGGCGGGTCCCTCTCCTACCCCTGCACGTGTGTTCTGGCGGTAGGCTTCACCCTGCCCGGCCTGGAGGGCAGTGGGAAGCGGCCTCTGGTGCTGCCCGTGCATGTGTCTTGCAACATTCACATGTGTGCAGTGCCTCGGTGCCCACTGGGGTCTGGGGCCCTTGGCTCTGCCCTGGTGTTTGCCTCTAGCAGTGAAGAGGCAACTTAAGTACTTAAACACCTACTAAGCACACGTTTTATTCAGTGGTTAATGATCTTTCTAAAGGTATCATCAGAATGCTAGGGAGAAAAGGCTTCCTTACTCATTTTTTCCAAATCAATCTTACATTAAAAATAATCTATAGTTCTCTCCTAAAACTGTTGTTACTGTTTGTTGTTACCTTATGTCAGTTTGCCACCTCTACTGGCACGAGTTCAGATCTCTTCGCCGACTGTGCTACCGACTCCCTTAATTCTGTGTAGCCCAATGCTAGTCCGAGTGCAGCACAAGCCACAACCTTGAGCAGGTCCCTTTGTTTGTCCAGGTTGCCCCTCAGGGATTTCATAAGCCTGGGAACTCGACAGTGGTAACTGTTCACCATACTGTAGTAGCAGCCTTGAGACAGGCTGAAGATGGAGTGTCTGCGTCTCAGACCTCCCTGCTGATGTCTGGCTGTCATCTCCTGTCCCTGACAAGGCAGCACCATTTCATAAGTGTGGCAGAGTGTGATTACTCTGCCCATCCCTTCCATCGCTGGTGAAGACATGGGTGAGTTTTGACGGAGGAGACAAGGATTTTAAGCCCAGCACAACTTAGAGCTGTGGGCCTAATAGAAAAGGGGAGGCCTGGCTTTGTACCCTTGCTGGGTGGAGAACCCAGCCCGGGTTCAGCTCATGCCTGTGGATGGTGTGAGTGGGAAACCTCGCTCAGGCCCAGCCTGGGCATCCTCCGGGCTCTGGGAGGACTCAGGTCTGACAGGGCGCAGAGCGGGAGCTGGCAGAGTGGTTGTGTGGGGAGCGAGGGCACACACAGCTGGTGTTAACTTCGTTCCTAAAGAGAAACCTAATCTCACGCTGCGTGCAGAATAACTCCTGAGCTAGTTCAAAAGAAATGTATTCTTTATAAAAGGGGCTCAAGGAACCCTTCCACTCCCCCTTGACCTGCTAGCGGTGATGATCCGCGGCTGGGGCATGTTGCAGATGCTCTGCCCTAGTCAGAGCTGAGGTGCTGCTGGAAGCCCGTGGGTGTCTCTGGTCCTATGGCTGCCTGCTGGCATGTGTGTGTCCATCGGTGTCCCGCTGTTGCTCAGCTTTCTGCCCTTCCCCGCCGCATTTCTCATGGCGGTGGCCATCCCCAGGCCACCATGCCTCGCAGCTGCAGGGAAGGAGGCTGAGCGCGTTGCGGCGGCGGGGGAGCCTTCCTGCCCTCCTGCCGCTGCTCCCCGCTGCCGCCCCGGGTCTTGCTCTTTGCCTCTCTGAGGTTCTGCTTGTTCTGATGATCTTTCCAAGTCAACAGTTAATCTGTGTCGGTCCAGGTGAATAAAACAGCAAAGAAACCAATCTGCATCGACAGCTGTACCTGTTTCCCTCTGAATGAGTGAGTGTGCTTGGTCTTGGCCAGAGCATACCTTCTGAGCAGCATCAGGGGAAGAGTCTGGAATACAAACATCCTGTCTGAGCAGACTTCACTGATCAGACGTGACTTTAGGATGCTTTGTACGCAATTTACTCAGATGGCTCGTGACTCTGCACAGATGCAAATGCAGTATGTGGTCTGGTCACAAAGTGTGCACTTGAGGACGGAGTTTCTAAATCAGCAGACTCACATTTGATCCCTCTTCAAGAGTATAATTCTGTGTGACCTTTTATTTTAGCTGCTTTACAGTCTTGTGTCACATGATACCATAGTATTGCTATTGAAAAACAAATGTGAACACAAAACTGTGTATGCCTGCCCCATACACAGAACCTTTCTGTTCCCCAAATCTTACACTTGGTTGATTTGTCATGAGAAAAAGCAGAGGTATCACCGAAAGTCACCTATTTAGTCTTAAGGTGAGTCTACAAAGATTTGTCTTAATGTTCTGTTAATGGAGATTTAAGGAACAAACACCCCTGAGTTTGTCCAGTGGTTTGCTGAGTAGAGCCTCATTTTGTCAAAAGCTTCCTGTAACTCCCTCATGGACTGGGGTTCATCAGGAATGGCACGTACAGGTGGCTCCTGGTGCTGACAGACTTTCCTGTCTTACTACCATTTTATTTATTTTGTGGGAAAAACAGAGGACTTTCAGTGCTTCCCAGCTGATGAAATACAGCGAGTAAGGAAGTTGTGTTACACTTCTGGTCGCTAAAGGTGTCAGTTTGAGGTAAGAGCCGACCGCTTGTTCCAGTGCAAAAGTGTGTCCCTTCTTTTCTGTTAAGTCTCTTCTCTGTGTTTCTGTGCTGAAAGTAGATACTTGAAGGACAGTTCTGCACTGCAGCTGAGTAACTGCAGAAAGGCATTTGCTGGATTAAATGAGGAGAGAATTGAAGTTTAGACTTTTCAGTCTAATAACGTGAGCGGATTTGTCAGAGGTTGCAGTAGGTTTTTCACAGACAGTTTTGATGTGGTACCAATGTGGCCATGGTAAATTCAGATCAGTTATTGTTCATCTTTCAGCTGCCATCTTGAACTTTCCAACCCTAGTTTCACTGTGGTCTGAATAGGACTTCAGCCATTTTTAATACTAGTTTCTTCTGTTTTGTTTCATAGGATCATGGATTTTCCAGGACACTTTGAGCAAATCTTTCAGCAGCTCAACTACCAGAGGCTTCATGGCCAGCTCTGTGACTGTGTCATCGTGGTGGGGAACAGGCACTTCAAAGCCCATCGCTCGGTTTTGGCAGCATGTAGCACGCATTTCCGAGCTCTGTTTACTGTAGCAGAAGGAGATCAGACCATGAATATGATTCAGCTGGACAGCGAGGTGGTGACGGCGGAAGCGTTTGCTGCGCTGATAGACATGATGTATACTTCCACGCTAATGCTCGGGGAGAGCAATGTTATGGATGTCTTGCTGGCTGCTTCTCACTTACATTTGAACTCTGTGGTTAAGGCATGCAAACACTACCTTACTACCAGGACACTGCCCATGTCTCCTCCCAGCGATCGGGTTCAGGAGCAAAACGCGCGCATGCAGAGGTCTTTCATGCTGCAGCAGCTTGGCCTGAGCATTGTGAGCTCTGCCTTGAACTCCACTCAGAGTGCAGAGGAACAGCCAAATCCTATGAGCTCCTCGATGAGAACTAACATGGAGCAGCGCACTACTTTCCCTATCCGTCGCCTCCACAAACGCAAACAGTCTTCTGAGGAGCGGGCCAGGCAGCGCATCAGGCCCGCCATGGACGAGTCTGTGTCCGAGGTGGCTGCAGAGAGTGGGCAGTCAGTCGTTCATTCACGGGAAGATTTCTTCTCGCCAGACTCACTGAAGATCGTGGACAACTCCAAGGCCGATGCTGTTGTTGACAACCAGGAGGACAATGCTATTATGTTTGATCAGTCTTTCAGTGCTCAGGAGGATGCTCAAGTGCCCAGCCAGTCTGACAACAGTGGAGGAAACATTTCGCAGATGTCCATGGCATCCCAGGCCACCCAGGTGGAAACCAGCTTTGATCAGGAGGCTGCTTCTGAGAAGAACAACTTCCCGTGCGAGAATCCCGAGGTCAGCCTGAACGAGAAGGAGCACATGAGGGTGGTGGTGAAGTCTGAGCCCCTGAGCTCCCCTGAGCCTCAGGACGAGGTGAGCGACGTCACTTCCCAGGCGGAGGGCAGTGAGTCTGTTGAAGTGGAGGGAGGAGTTGTGAGCGCGGAAAAGATAGAGCTGAGCCCCGAGAGCAGCGACCGTAGCTTTTCCGACCCGCAGTCCAGTACTGACAGGGTGGGAGACATCCATATTATGGAGGTGTCAAACAACCTGGAACACAAGTCTACTTTCAGCATCTCAAATTTTCTAAATAAAAGCAGAGGTGGTGGCTTCAGTGCTAGTCAAAACAGTGATGACAACATTCCAAACACCACCAGTGACTGCAGAATGGACAGTGACACCTCTTACCTGATGAGTCCGGAGTCGGGGCCTTCTGGCAGCCATTCATCCGCAGCTGTCTCCCACGTCGAGAATCCCTTCAGCGAGCCCGCAGACTCCCACTTCGTTAGGCCGATGCAAGACGTGATGGGTCTCCCCTGCGTGCAGACCTCTGGGTACCGGGCGGCGGAACAGTTCGGCATGGATTTTCCACGCTCAGGCCTGGGTTTGCACTCCCTGTCGAGGGCAATGATGGGCTCGGTCAGAGGTGGAGCCAGCAGCTTCCCCGGCTACCGCCGCATAGCCCCCAAAATGCCTGTGGTGACCTCTGTCAGGAGCTCCCAGCTGCAGGACAACTCATCCAGCTCCCAGCTGATCATGAACGGGACCACGTCTTTTGAAAATGGGCACCCGTCGCAGCCCGGCCCGCCGCAGCTGACGAGGGCGTCGGCAGACGTCCTCTCCAAGTGCAAGAAGGCCTTGTCAGAGCACAATGTCTTGGTGGTGGAGGGTGCCCGCAAGTATGCCTGCAAGATCTGCTGCAAGACCTTCCTGACCTTGACGGACTGCAAGAAACACATCCGCGTGCACACTGGGGAGAAGCCGTACGCCTGCCTCAAGTGCGGCAAGCGGTTCAGCCAGTCCAGCCACCTGTACAAACACTCCAAGACCACCTGCCTGCGGTGGCAGAGCAGCAATCTGCCCAGCACTTTGCTCTAACCTCCCCCGCGACCCAGGGAGGTGCCGCTGCAGGCGCCGCGGGAGCCTCCACACTCTGGTCTTGAAGGCTACAGGCTTGGGGGCTGCTCTGCTCAGCGAACCTTGGGTGTGATTGTGCCACACACACAAAATTCTTGGTTCTGTCACTTGGGGATATTACTGTACCTACCTCACAGGGGTGTTGTGAGGCTTAAACAGCTGCAGGCAGAGAGCGTGGAGAATCTGGAAGTGGTGCTGTGGGGGTGTGAGGCGTCACCGCGAGGCGCGCTCGGGCCTTGAGCTGATGGGGATATGGTCCTGAGGGCTGAGCGGTTCCTTGCAGGGCAGAGGGGTGAGACCCTAGTTATCTCATGAAGTAGCACGTTTCCAGAACGAGAAACTCAAGTGCAAATTTCCTCTTTTTTTTTTTTTTCTAAAGTATTTTGTAAAAGTGAAAGCATTTAAATAAACGACCTGTAAAACAAGTTGCTGCATTATGTATGGACAGTATTGCAAGAGCTGCTTACTGTAACTAACGCAGGCTGCAATCTTTAAAAGAGATAAAACAACTTTGGATGTCTAACATAATGCTTTATAATATGCTAATTATAAAAATAGTTCTAGGGCTATGAGTGTATGTTTGGCTGTTTTGTAGTAAAGGACACTGTGTAATGAAGGTGCTTAAATTAAATCCCAGACAAGTAACTTTTGGACTGCCAGGTGTACGTATACTTTGAACACAGCAAGATCTGGATGCTTGACTGATTTTTTTTCTGTAGAAACTTGTATTAAGTGGTAAGTGAAGTAATGTTTCTTGTTCGTGCTCTTCTTAGCAGTATTTTAACCAATTTGTATCTCCTATGTTAAAATTCTGTATACACCGAAGTCTGAAAACAGCTTGTCTTTGTCTGCTTTGTTATTTTGAAAGAGAGATAATTTGTGATGGCTTTTTTTACTGTGTAAGATGGTCTCTTGCTGTTTCCAGGTGCTGATAGTCAATCTGATCCCCGTTACTGCCTAAGCATGTTGTTCTTTTCTGACACTCTTATCTTCAGGCTTTAATTTCCTCCTGTCCACGCACTCACTTTCCTTCACAACTGTGGATTGTTCCTCAGATCAAACCAGTCAGGAATGATCCTCATTTGCCGTATATATGTCTTTCTAAAAAATGTAGTTGTCAAATCCAGTCCTTCCACCGAAAGTAGTGTCATAAATGTGTGTTTCCACATAAATTTTAAAAATCTACATAGGTTTAATTTAAAAACAGCACTGAACAACTTTGTATAGCAGAAATTCAGTGATCATTATTCTTCAAGTGAATCGTGTAAATCTTGTTTTAATTTCCTCTTCTTTGATACCATTGTAACTGTCTGCAGTCTCTTTTTTTCCTTTTTTAAAGGTGCACATGAACTAACTACTGGCCTTCAGCATATTAGGTTTCCAAATAAAATTTTGGAGCACTCCTGCTGATAAGTGTTGCTCTACCATACAGGAGCTGGGTCAGGGCTACAGTGTGTCCCTTCTGCTTAGGAGAGATGGAGGATTTGTGTTTCCTGGTATCTCAGTCGCAGAGCAACAGCTTTCCGTTAATATAAAAAAAATTTGTAAACCTTCCCCTTTTTATTCTGTACGTGTCCTGTGTGATGATATTCAGTAGTTTCATGATTTTTGCTACCTAATAGTGAGCCTTCTTAAACATCTTGGGCTTACATTTGGATCAACTGAAAATTAAATCTTGATCCACAGTCCTGTAGGTCATTTGACAGAATGAACTGTCAAAACTGCTGAAGTGCAGAGACCACAGCCATGGTCAGACCGAAGGGAACATGGAAATCTTCCTTTGCTGGGCTTCATATAAAACACTACTCTGCTGATGAAGAAATGTGTCCTCATCTCTAATTACACGGCTTCACACTGAGGGGAAAAAAAAAAAAAAAACAAACGTCTGTCAGTGTGTCGTTTGCACCTTGAGCATCCAAGGTAAACAGAAACATGGTGAATGATTGGATTGATTCCTTTAAAATGTTAAGATTTTGTCATAGGCATTATTTAATGGTCGTATTTCTAGCTCTTGATTTTATAAGCATTAAGAAAATGTGCTGCTTTTTTTTAAAGCCTTAGGATATGCCACATTTTGTGTGATAATTTTGGTATCAGGGGACTAACAGCATTGAGTTATACTAAATAATCTCACTGAAACATCAATAAAATCCAGTATTTTGTACTTTAATATTCTCTTGTGTTGCCTTATTAGTAACGTTCTGATTGTTTCCTCTTCCTTGCATTTCTAGTGTTTTGTTTTAAAAGTAGGGGTTTTTTACATTTTCTATATGTTCCCAATAGCACATCCGAATTCCTTGAATTCTTAGGTGTGTAGGGATAAAGCATCTGCGTGAGGAAGGAGATTAATTAAGAACTAACAAGCAGATAAACATATTTAACTGTACTTTTGATCTGTTTTTACAAATATTTTAATGTCAGTGTGGAATACCAGACCTTTGCAGGAGGACTTCTGTCTTCTTTCTTTAAGAAAAAATTCAACTCAGAGCATTTTTGGAAGCAGCAACTTTAAGTTTCATTATTGAACAACATCTCGTGCATCCGGAGGAGCACACTGCAACCCCCGAGCCTGTTGCTTTCCTCGTCTTCCAGTACGAAGCAATATCTCAGAAGGGTGTCTCCACTGAGCCATCCCCCGTCTTATCTCAAAGCTTGGTGATGCTATCAGAGAGCTTATTGCCCTGGTTTGTGTTGAAAATTTAATACAAATGCTACAGTGAGGTCTCATGTGAAGATGTCAGTATGTTGGTATTATGAAACATCTGAAAATAAACCCTACGTTTTTGTGCTGCTGTGTCTGACCTGATTTGCTTGTGTATGTTATCCTGGTGTCTGCCAGCAGCAGCTGGTGGATTGACTGAACACGCAGCACTTGGGCACTGGTCGGGCTCCACGTCCCTGGGTCATGCAGCGCCAACTCCTCCCGCGGATCTGGAGGCGTTTGTGCCTGGCGGGTGCTGACCCTGGCTGGGCTCCTGCTCCACACTGAGGCTCTGCCCGTTTCCAGAGGACACGTGAGGCCCAGCTGGCCAGAAGCGGATCTGTATTTGAGCCGGGACCAAGTCCCAAAATTCGACCTCGTCCTGTCGAGGCTCCATGGGCTGGGCTGGGCCTGCAGCACAGCACAACTGCCATGGGCCCAGACGGTTTGGTGTCTCCCGGAGCCCCTCGGCGCAGGGCTCTCTGCCTCGCTCTGCTCTGAAGACATTCCATGCAGGTCGCTCGAGATGCCCTGTGGGTGCTGATCCCCCTGCAGGGATTCTTGCTGCTGCTGCAGCCGTGAGAGAAAGGGCGCCTTGCCCACCTCTCCCTCACCCGGGAAGGCCGGGAGCATCCCCACTGCTGCGTGAAAATTATGGACATTTTTTTCAGCTATGAGTTCACTGCAAGTGCGCAGGTGCTTGTGCTGGCAAGGGAGCAAGGGTAAGTGTCTGGATAATGCGGTGATTATTTTTGGTAGCAACATCTGACTGCCCCCAGTGACCTTCCAGGTCTGCAGCACAGGGCAGGTTGGGGACTTGCTTAATGAAATGTGTTAGTGCTGATGAGGGTGAACTGCGTGACTCGATGGCACAACTCATGTCTTGAATGGACATCAGGGCAGTCAAACAGGTCTTGAAAAGGCATAAAAGCCACAGTCTGTAATTTAAATGCCATAGTTCTTAATTTTTCTTAATAATATATAAAAATAAATCTGTTCTTACAAAAAGGAAATGAGTGAACTAATGTCAGACGTTTGCCTGTGTTAACAACACCTGTTTAACTGTGTGTTTGTAGAAGCACACGCTCGTGCTTAGCTGAAGCCTGAAGTTCACTTACACTGTGGAACCACTTTTGAGGGCTGCTTGTTCCTGCCAGAGGAAACAGCCAGACTCAGAAACTCCTGGAAACAAGAGCCAGCGAGACCCTCAGCCCGGCCGGAGGGAGGGTGCTGACGGCCTCGTCCCCGCCGTGCTCTGTGCTCTTCCTCCTGCTGCCGATGCGGCCAAGGGAGATGCGGCTCTGCTGGTGCCAAACACTGCTGCTGCCTCCGCAGCGAGCGAGCGCCCGACTCCGCATCTGCATCGGCACAGTCAGCCAAAAAAACACCAGAACAGGCTGCTCGAAGGGCCCCTGCAAAGGGATTATTACTCTTTATGCCAGCCTGTAAAGAAATACTTGTTCTGAGCAAAAACTGAGCATAAAATCCTGCACTTCACTCAGTAACAGTTTTGTTCCTAGTGGAATATACTCTCCATAAGAGCTTACTATTATGCTTTTTATTGCAATAACGTTAGTATCTATGTGATACCTGTAAAATCGGTAACCTGTTGTCATTCTTGCTCTCTGACTCCCTTGTGAGAAGATGCTGGTGCTGTGACCAGGAGGCCCAGTGCAGCTCCTCTGCCCCGGGGGTGCTACAGTTCACCACGCTCTGCAGCTGTTCTGCTGCTGGTGGCACAAAGTTTTCACTAGTGCCTGTTGGTGCGGAGTGTGCCCGGACTGACTGAGCAGGAAATCCCGTGAAGAGGTGTTTGCCCTCGGACGCAGACCTGGCAAGGCTTACCTGTGCTTTGCTGTCAGTTGGTTCAGCTCAGACTTGCTTAAAAACCTGCAGGTTCTTTTAACCAGGGGCAGAGATGAGGTTAACATTTTACCATTTACATTTTTTAAGCATTTATAGAAAGCAGAATCTTTCAGTAAGGGCATACTGATGATTTACGTGGCTGGCAGAGCAAAGTGATCGGCAGCTGTGGAAGGTACTTTCTTGAAGAGACTCCAAGGTGTGACGCCTGAAATGTGCTTTGATCACTTTGTCAGCCTTATTTACAAGCTTGTGTCTACCTCTTAACATGCTTGGGGAATCTAATACAAGTGCTCAGACACCAGTTCATTTACACTCAATTATTGCTCACATCATTAGGGGTCACAATAAACCTCTCAAATACTTGGTCAGCATCCCTCAGTAACTTCACCAATACCAGAACCTTTAGTGTCAAAACCCTGAAGTCACAGACCAGCAAACGAAGCTGCTGGACTTGCGCTGATGTGATACAGCCAAGGTTTTCATACCAGAGTAAATGCCTCTCATTTCTGTTACATCAACTGGAAGCTTTCCAGCTGGTTGAGATACTCGGGAGCCCACTCGTTCCTGTCTACCACCACGGCTACAAACCTTCCCTCGGTCAGCAGCGCTCTCATTAGACACTTCCCGAGCACTTCCTGCCTCTGATGGGCAGGCGTACAGTAATCAGCAAGGCTTGTGAATCAAAACATATTGATAAGCATGTCAGATACTCTCTGAGGCATGAAGCAAACGTCTTCCTCTAACTAGCCAGCATCAATAACTAATTAATGAACATCTTCCAATAGCTATCGCTATCAGAGTATGCTTCATTTAACATCACGAGAAATTCAAGCAGAGAATTCAGCATGAAGAACACTTGCCGTGGGACAGAAAGAACTTTAACTCATCAGCCCAGACTTTTCTCTGTATGCTTTCAGCTCCCTCGAAGCACCAGCTTATACCACTGCCAGCTACTGCCCTCCCCTGTCATCTCTTAGGAAATGTTCTGGTGTGTTATTCGGCGCCCTGCGTGGCCTTTGTATGGGATGAGAGTTGGAAAAACCAGAACACTGCTGCTCTCTGCACCCTGGGCTTGTGCACTTTCTTTTTTCACCCTTGGCAGAAGCCTAACCGTGCTGTGCCATAATGAACAGTGAATCGAGCACTTCGGGCACGGTGTGGCCAGCCGCTCTCCTGGGCTTTCCTCCAGAGCCTGTTCCCTGTCCATCTGTCCAGCTGCAGCACCGCGCTCGCTGCCCCCAGGCTCATCCTCCCTGCTCACAGCCCTCGCACTGTGCCCCCTCGCTGGGGGGAGGCCGGTGGAGCTGTCTGGGGGTGACTGGGCAGGCTGCGGCCTCCCTGCAGGAGGAAGCACGAGGCTCTTCCTCGTCCTGGCCCATGGGTGCTAACAGCCCCTCTGCAGCGCCCAGTGGAGAGGGGCTATGGTGGGAGCACCGTCCACAACCACTGAGCTGTGAATGAGACGCTTCCTCCTGAAGCCCCCTCTCCCCCCGGCCTTGCGCCATCATATCAGAAAAGCACCAGGTTAGTGTCTGTCCACCCCATGAGGCTTTGTGTCACATCTCTTTTTCAGCAGGATTTCTGCTGGCCTGGGTGGCTTTCATCGATCCCTGGAGCGTGGTGGGTGCCTTGGGGCCACTCAAGGAACTTCCCTCCCTGTGTTGTCTGAAAAGGGGGTTCATGGCCCGGGGTGGAACGGGCCAACAGCCGCACCCTGCAGAGACGTCGCTTGTTTGTTTTAGGGCTGCCCAAGCCTGGATGCTCAGTGCTCTCCCACAAATCAAGCACACCAGCGGGACTTTCTGTGCTGTCTTTATGCACAGAACTTGCAGAGTCAGTGATTTTCAAAGTCCCTCCTCTCTAGGATGACTGGACGGTAATTTACATACAATTATAATACTGCTGGCAGACTCTTCCACCACTGTGCGTGCTGAGGGGAAGGGTCTTCCCCCGGGCAGGGTCTTCCTGACCTACAGGCGTGATGTTTAGGTAACCACGAGGGCAGTTCAGCGGAGGACACACGCACCCTGAGTTTGCTGGCCCCGCGGGCGCTGTGCCCTCCTCCGGGTCCAACGGCTCCGGGAGGTCCTTGCTCCGAGAGGGCGATCTCCTTGTGGTGCTGGCGGGGGATGCCTTTGGCTCTAGCACAGACAAGGCACATCTTGCTTCAGGGAACCGCAACGGTGCTGCCTGGCTCTCAAA